CACATGCGAGATGTGAGCGTGGTTGGGCGGTCGGCACGAGGGCCCTTGGCTCGAGGAACGAGGACGAGGTGTGTCGGTGACTGTGAGAATACCGTACTAAGCTCGACTAACGTACCATATACACAACACAAAAGCAAGTACGAAGTAGCAAGCGATGCGGAAAGACACTGACAAGTGACGCTTGCCGCGGGAGCGGGTGGGCGGGGGTCGCGCGCGGTCTGCAGGGGGGGAGCGGTGTGTCCGGTGAGGGGGGGGGGGGGATTGCTATCTTGGCCGAAGCGGGACCACCGCACATAAAGTCCACACACTCACAACAGTCCCTCAGCACACACGCCTTGTCTGTCGTGGATCGTGCCCACGCGAAAAGGAATCGACCCGATGTGCAAAGCATACAAGAAGGGGAGAAGGAAGAGGAGAGACGCCGGTGGTGACGAAGCAGAAACTAGCGCAGACGAGAGCAGGGGGCAGACCCGGGGACTGGGGAGCCGGAGCGGACGGCAGCAGGGGCCCTTGCGAGGAGTGGCCGCTCACGCGGCCCGATGGGGAGGAGCGGGGCGGACTACGGGGATCGGCTTCTTACACAGCCCTTCCCTGCAGCGAGCCCCCCTCCAACCCACCCGCGCTAGGTCTCGGGGGACGCAGGGGTCACACCCGACGACCTCGGGAACTAGCCGGGGCAGGAGAAGGGGCAACTCCGTGCACTGACGGTCGGCCGTCAGAAAACACGCCTCCGTGGATCGGGTTACACCAATCCTACAAACAAAAAATGATAAAAATCTCTCTCTCTCTCCCAATCCTCGCTACCCAACGCGGCCAAAGGATATCCACCTCGAGAACCTCGAGACGCCCTTGCCAATCCCGCTAGGGTGGGCGTGCTTTCACAGCGGTGTCCAGTCCTCCGCGCTGGTACAGAAGAGATGCTCCAGCGGCTCTACGCGCCGCTTCGCCAGCGACATGTACCGTCGCCGCCTCCGCCCTCAGCTGAGGGCCCTCCGACAGCATCTGCGGCTGGGATCGCGCCGCTCTTGCCGGGTCAGACCTCTCGATTCGGATCCTCTTCGGATCCTCTTCCAGAGCCATCCACCATGTCGGAGCTTTGCGAAGCGGAGGACGACGAGGAGTCTGATCTGATCCTGCCGCCTCGCTTCGCACGGCGCATCTGGCTCGTCTCGTGGCTCGCGCTCAGCTCGGGCTCCGCCGCGATTGCCAACGGCCGGCGCGACTGCGCGGCGCTGAGCGTGCTCATGCTGGCCACCTCGCTCAACTACTGGCGGCGGCCGACGCACGGCCCGCGCCGCACCGTCGACATGGCGGCCGCCGCCGGATCGCTCATTTACCAGGTTGCTGCGGTCGCACCATTCTCTCACTGCCCGATCGCGGCCGGAGCCTACCTCGCCTCTGTCGCGGCGGGCGCAGGATGCTACGCGCGCGCGCGCCTCCTCTCACGCCGCCACGGCGACCGCGACTCGTCCAGCTGGTGGCACGTCGGGCTCCACCTGTGCGGTAACGCGGGCAACGTGCTGCTGTACGACGCGGTCGGGCGCAACCTCGTCGGGTGGCGGCGGCGGTAGGCGCGAGAGACGGTCCGTATCTCTAACACTGTGACTGTGATCTCTACTGACCCACATCTCGCTCCACTCGCTCTTTCGCGTCTCGGCGTCCCTCTTGCGGCGACAAACTCTATAGAAGAACAGAACACACTACTCGAGTATATCGGAACTAAATGCTACACGGCTAGAGCGGTGCAGCCGGGCACACGTCCGGACACCGGAGCGCGAGGCGATGGTTCTTGCCGTCTCCGGGCCCCGGGCGCAGCTCCGGCGCGGACCGCGCTCCTCTTCGACCTCGCCTTGCTGGAGTGTCTCGCCGGCGAGAGGCGGTCCCGCGCGGGAGAACGTCGCGCGACTCGAAAGCGAGAGGAAACGCCCGTTCGGTCTCCTGCCGCGGTCCACTAGTGGGGTCAGGTCTCCGAGGAATACGCCTAGTCAGCCTCTTCACGGCGCCGCGGGTCGCGTCTCGGAGGTCTCGCCGCTAAACGGGTTGTAGTAGAACTTCTGGCCGTTGCCGTAGTCTCCGTCGAGCCAGTTCTTCGGCAGCGGCGAGGGCGGGTCGGTCACCTCTGGCGAGAGCGGCAGCCCGTAGGCCTGGGGGACATAACCGGGGCGAGCGAGTTGGTGGGAGGCGCAAAGGGCGCCATGGCAGTCCGCTCGCCTCCTCCAGCGCAGCCACGCTCCCCCAATGGTTCTTTTGCCGCGCCAGGTCCAGCGGAGTCTTGCCGAACTCGTTCTTCGAGCTGACGACGGCTGAGCGGAGGAGCAGCCGCAGCATCTCGGCGTGGCCGTTGCGCGCGGCGACGTGGATGGCGGTGTCGCCTTCGTTGCTCTCCAGCGTGAGGTCGGCGCCACTCTCGAGGAGCAGCTCCGCCTAAAGCAGCCGACCCGGCCGTGAGCGGTATATGCATTGTGAGATGGGGAGGCGAGGGAGGTGGTGAGGGCGCCTGCCAGATGCGGTTCTTCCAGGCAGCATAGTAGATCGCCGCCCAGCGGCACTGCGAGTCCTGCTGATTGACGTCTTGCCCTCTAGCCAGCAGCTGCTTCATGCGCTCCTCCTCACCGCGCTCGACCGCAACAAACCATCCAGATGTCGACCGTATGTTCCCGCGAATCACCTTCTGCTTCGTCTCGGGACTCGGGTCGAGCTTCCAACCAGGCATGCTGCTTAGAGGCGACGACGCTCGCTTGTTGGCTGTCTGAGCGAGGTGCCGAGGACAGCCCGGACAGCGGAGGACGACCGGACCAAGAGGCTTGGATGCGGGTTGGGATGCTTTGGTTGGCGCTTGTCTCGAGGTGTCGAGGTAGAAGCCAGCGCTGGGTACCAGGAAGGCGAATGCGATGCCGGCCTCTAGTGTGAGCTCTAGCTAGTTGAGGCTCATACGCACGTTCACGCTCCCGCTGTGATTCTGTGTGAGCTCTGTGTCTTGATTTGCCAACAACATACCTAAAACGTAAGCTAAAAACACACACACACATTCACGCTCAATCGCCAGCGACCCCGACTAAACAAGTATCGCGATCGTTTCGCCCACGCCCGCCGCCTGCATTCCGTCCGGCTTCGCCTTGCTGCTGCCATGCCGAAGAAGGCCGCCAAGGGCAAGAAGGGAGGCAAGAAGGACGCGATGTCGACCGACGAGGCGGACCTCTACCCGTTCGGCGTCAAGGTGGACGACATCATCCAGGCAGAAGACCTCAAGAGCGCCGGCCGCTCCCGCTCCTCCCGCCCGCCCGCTCACGCCCCGCACCTCGTGGCTCCATCGCCCCCGCCCTCGCCGCCCAAGCCGCCGCCGGCGCCAGCCACGTGCGTGGACAGCCCGGGCTGCCCCCACCTCAACGACGGCGACTGCGACGACGGCGGGCCCGGTTCGGACTACGACATCTGCGACTACGGGACGGACTGCTCGGACTGCGGCCCGCGCCCGCCTCTCGGCGCGCCGCCCGGGGTCAGCGCGCCGCCCCCACCGCCGTCACCGCAACAGTCGGCTTCGCCGCCGCCGCCGCCACCGCCGCCGCAGCAGCAGCGGCAGCCCCACTGGGTCAACTGCGGCCGGTCTGGACGCTGCGACGAAGACGGCAAGTGGGCGGAGCCCGCAGAGAGGCATGAGGTGCGCTGCTGCTCCGACTCCGACCTGGGAAACGACTGGAGAAAGAACCCCGGCTGCTCGGTGTGGGCAGAGTCGGACGCGCAGAGCATGGGCGGCTGCAACAGCCGCAAGACGCTGCTCGAGGCTGAGGCCATCTGCAGCGACGCCGGCGTTCGCCTCTGCACGGCTGAGGAGCTGCAGAGCGACTGCAGCAAGAGCACTGGCTGCGGCTTTGACAAGGAGCTGGTCTGGTCGAGCGACTCGTAGCTTATTCCAACTTTAGAGCTTGGAGCGGTTCACCCCACATCCACAACTTTTCCTAAAGTAGTACGGGTGTTGTTGACTACACTTTGTGTTGAATAAAGCTGTACTTGCGCCGATGTACGGCTCTCGGGGTGAAATTCTGAAAAACGTGCAGCACTTCTAGCCGACATCGACAAAAGTCACTCTCTAGCCCCGCGGCGAGCGGCCCCGCCGGAGGCGAAGAAAATTTTGCCATCTAGCGCTCTCTAACACACACATTTTTGACACAAATATCGACACACCTCCAAACAAACTCAATAAGACTGGTCTTCACTGCAGCACGCCTCGAGCGAGTAATGCGTCTGTAGGCCAATATATAACATAGCTTCTCGCGCGCGCTCCTCAGCTGGCGGTCCACAGGGCCGCCCGGGCCGGGCGAGAAGCGCAAGCCCGCCAGCCGCACCATGTGATTCACGATGATGAGCGTCTCGGCCTCGAGCAGCGTGTAGGAGCGAAGCTTGCCCTCGCACTCGCGTTGCTCGAGCCTGAGCCACTGCGCCTTGACCACGAGATAGCCCGCGGGGATGGTGTCGGTGTTGACGACCGTGTCCTCGGCCAGCGTGTGCGCCTTCCCCTTGAGCACCGCCAGCCAGTAGAGCGCCCCTCGAGTGACTGCTCGCGCCGATCTGCGCGGCGACAGCGGCCTGGACAAGTCCGGCCAAGTCGGTTACGGGGAGGGCTACTACGAGGTCTTTGCGCGGGGGCGGTCGGGCGCCAGGCGCCCAGTCGATTGCCGCATAGTTCGTCCTGATCGTCGTAGTAGCCCTATCATAAACCTCTTGCGACGGTGTATCATTCACTTTATGCCACCGTTGCATATCCTGGATATATCCGGATATGCAACGGTGGGGCATAAAGTGAATGATACACCGTCGCACCTCTTATATTCACACCTTGCACTTTGAAAAGAGAAATATCCGACCTTTGTCGAAGATCCGGTTCCGGAGGGTTTATCAGAGCATCACCCCTAGACACGATGTGATATGACCTGACACGTAATCGAGCGCTGAGGAGGTTAACGCGTTGAAGTACTAATCGGGGAGCACAACTTGGGACGCACACACGCTCACACGGTCGAGAGGCGGCGCAGCGCGCAGGCGGCGGTGGCTCACGTTTCGCGAGCCGCCTCGGCGGACGCCTCTACCTTGAGCGGCAACGCGCCCTTGAGCCGCGCGCGCACCTCCTCCATCTGCTTGCGCCGCGCGATGGCCGCCTCGCCCGCCGCCTTGAGCGCGGCCACCTAGGTACGGCCGTCGAAGGCAGAGACTAACACACGCTAGTGAGGGCAGCGAGGGGGTCAGAGTGAGCCAGGCAAGGCGCCTTTTCCGGCGAGGCGGTGCGCTGCATCTTCTCCTCCGTAGGATCCTCGCCGAAGAACCACGCGTCGCAGGAGGGGTCGTCCTCGCCCTGGTCGTCCACCCCCTCGCCAAAGCACTCGCGCTCGCCGCTCCGCTCCGCCTCCTCCTCGAGGTACGTCGACGCGGCAGCGCGGCGCGGCGCGCCAACCTCGCACTCCTCGCCCCCCCCCTCCCGGCCCGACACCATCTCGACGAATCGCTGGTAGTCGAGCAGCTTGGCGTCGTTGGCGAACGCGTTGAAGGCCTGCGCGAGCCGAAGCGGACGGTGGTCGACCTCGCAGCCCTCCGCCTCTGGCAGCGCGGCACAGAAGCGCTCAATCGTCGACAGCAGCTGCGCCTGCGCGACGGTCCCGTCGCCGTCCGCGTCGAGCGCCTCAAAGACGGGCATCAGCGCCCTGTCGCCCTGCGCAAAGTCCTGCACCGCCTTGTCAACCATCAGCGAGACGAAGGTCGCCTGATCGACCCCCACCGGCCCGTCGAGCCCGGGCACGCCTCGCAGCCGCTCGAGGAGGGGCGCCTCCCCTGCCGCCGCGTCGCCGTCGCCCGCCCGCACGGCTGCGACCACCCTCTCGAGGTCGGCCAGGCGCAGCCGCCCGTCCGCGTCCGCGTCAAGCTGCGCGAAGATGGCCTCGAGCCCTGCGAGCCGGAGCTCATCGCCCTGCACCAGCCCGCGCAGCCGCGCGCTCTCCTTCTTCGGCGAGATGCCCTGCCCAAAGGCTGTGGCGTCCGCCTCCTTTGGCTCGTGCGCCATCGCGGCGAGCGCCTCGAGCGCCTCCACGAGCGCCTTGTACTGCACGACCGGCCGCACCGCCTCCGCTGTCAGCGACTGCAGCAGCCTGAGCTGGCGAGAGCCGCCGAGGAAGCGGCCGAGCCGCTCGCGCACCTTTGGCACCGCGTCCTTGCCCGTCAGCACGGCGCGAGAGACGCGCCCGATCCGCGGCAGGTAAAAGTGCACAGTAGGGAAGGAGAAGACGCGCTGCTCGTAGCAGAGCGCCGGCTCCGCCTTGAAGTTGCACTGCAGGAAGGTTGCCCGCCCGGCGTACTCGCGCTCGAGCCGCTCGAGCCTCGGCCGCACCGCCTTGCAATTACGGCACCACGGCGCGTAGAAGAAGACCACAGTGAGTTGGCCGCAGCCCTCGACGTCCTCACACCAGTTGTGCTTGTCCGTCTCGACGAGCATCGACGGCGGCGGTGTCGCGCGAGGAGCAATAGCCACCGTGTGGCTCGTGCGTCCGACCTGGTGCGCGTGGAAGGCGAAAGCGGTCGGCACTGCGAGGCTGAACAACAGCGCCATGACGTGGCCCAATGGCGTGCGGCGGCGTATGCGGCGGCAGCAGCGTGATGTGCCGACGCTGAGCTGGCGAGGCTCACGTGCTAAAGCCGAGCTCGGTCAGCGACGAGCGCCGCTGACAGAGCGTAAATCGACAGGGGGCCGCGCGGCGAGGCCGTTTTTCATCAGCTTGTAAAAAGCTTCTGCGTGCTCCAAGATCTGGTGCCGCCGCGCCGCCTTACCACCGACCCTTACCGTGCCGCGCCGCCTTTACACACACACCTTACCTCCTGCTCGACTGAGTTTGCGCTGAGAAGTGACCCGAGCCGCCGGGTGCCCCGCAGCGGCCTCGCCGGGCCAGAAGAACCGGTCCGCGAGTGCTCCGCAGCAACCTCGCTGAGCCAGATCGTCGGCTCGCGAGGTGGGGTGCTAGTATGAGCCCGATCCGTCGTAGAGTTCTTGCGCTTCGGCGGTTAGTGGTGCACTACAGTTGTAACCTCCGAGAAACCCTTCGCGTCGCTCCTCATCGCAAACCCTGTCAGCAGAGTCCTCCTTCCTACGTACGGGAATGTACGTAAGAGCCACATACACTGAAAAACTAATCGCGCGCCTCACGATAGACCAGACGTCGCAGTCGGCGCGCGAATGGATGCCGTTTGCGCTGCAGCGACTGTCGGTGCAGCGTGCCCAGGGACTTTTCTTTTTCGAGAGCGCCTTCGTTGTTAATAGTACAAACCCAATGGTCCTCTGCGAGCGGTCCTTCGTTGCAGACGCACACACGCACACGCCGCGCCGCACCGCGCGCCCGCCCACCGCCCCGCCCAGGCGGGAAAGAGGTGGGGAGATGGGACAGCGAAGGAGGAGCACGAGCACGTATGGGAGGGTTCAGTAATGCGCCACGCTGCCCGGCGTCTCTCACTTTCCGGGACAGCCCCGCCCTTGTGAGGCAGGAAAGTGACGGCTACCCCGTACGCGCCTGCCGCTCTACTCGTCGCCGACCGCCCATTCCCCCCTCCTCGTTCCCCCCTCGAATGCTCCGGACCCCGACAAGCCGCCCGACGCTGGGCCTCTGCCCCGCACGCCCCCGCCCCTCGCTCACACCCCGGCCCGACACGCACTCTGCCCCGCACGCCCCCGCCCCTTCTGCCCCTCGCCCACACCCCGGCCCGACACGCACATACAAGACAAACCCGGCGTCCTGCTCTCAAAAGAAAAAGAAAAAAGGGAATGAGGAG